CTATATATTCAATTATATAATATATTATCCAAAAATCTATAATTTAAAGAGTAACTGAATACTACAAAGAAAAAACAAATAATAAAATTGTGTAATAGATTGAATGATTTTGGATCAATAGGAATTACAATGGTTATAAGATTCAAACAAACACAAATTAAACATCAGTAATTATTTAATTTGTTGACTTGTAGTTTACTTAATTACCTCTTGGGTAAATATAATTTTTTACTTCAAGTAATTAAGTTGGCTAAAGATATAAAAATAACTTTTCAAAACTGGAAGTGACATGATATCTTTAAATAGAAAAAAAGAAATAGTTTAATCAAAAAATATTTTATACCTGATAATTATAACAAAACTATTTTATTATTAAGAAACAATAGATTGATATATATAGATCAGCTTATTAATTACAAGATAAAAAAAATTAGAAATTGACACATGTTTTAACTTATTCAAAAAGTAGGCAAAGGTTCTATTTTAAAATGGTTCCTAATCATAAACAAGATACTTTTTAGAGATCTCTTGAATTAGCTCATATAATTTTGAGAAATAGATTGGATAAAGTGAAAATTAGTATACTTTATAGTAAAATAGAAGACAAAAAATATAGGTTGCCAAAAAAAAATAATAATCATCAATTAACTTGAAAAAAACTATTATAAAAAGGAGCAGAAAATAAAGCAAAAATTAAATACTATAATTATCAAACCAATGAAAATAGTCAAAAGACAAAACTAATAAAATGCTTAGGTTTCTTGAAAGGTCATATTCAAGAAAACAATTGTATTATAAAGAAAGATATGAAAAAGATATATAAAATATCAAATCTCAACACAAGAAAAAACACTAAAAGAGTTTAGATACCAATAATTTTAAGTTTCAAGATATCTATAAAAAAAAATAATCAAAAAAGCAATATATAGTAATCAAGTTTGCCAGAAAATTCTTTTTTACAATCTTTTTTTCAATATATTAGAATAAATTATATAGATATAGAAAATTAAAAAAAAATAATAATTAAAGAAAATATTAAAAAATAGTATATCAAAACTACTTGATAAAAATATTTTAGTATAATCAAGAATTTAATTAAAAACTAATTTTTTATTTAGATGGCATACTTATTGATTATGGAAGTGACAATATAAAAATAAAAACAGCATAAATTAAAATAAGAAATATGAGAAAAGAAAGTAGATTTCAAATAGAAGTAGATAATTGGGTTTAATTTATATATATAGAATTGATAGCAATAAGTACAATTCTTCTAGTAGTTTTAATAAATAGTATAGTTTAAATCTTCTTAAATAGTTAAGCTTATATCTCAAAATAGAAAGTAATCAAGAAAAATAATTCAAAAAAATATACAAGAAAGAATTGAAAGATAAAAACTTGTCATTATAGATATGTATAGTAAAATTAGTTAAAAAAAAAAAAACTTAAATCTGAAACTTATCAAAATCAAGATATATTTTCATAATTTCTATAATATTAAATCAGATGCTTTATCCAAAGATATCCTTAAACTTTTTGTAATATAATAAAAAAATTATATCTTATATAAGATCTCTACTGAAATCATATGTCAAAGCAAATGCTAAATAATCTTATAAAGCAGTTTATTAAAAAAATAAACAATAATACTATAATATATTAATAAATAATACAAAATAGAATTGAAAAGAAATAAAATCATCAAATTAAAAAGCAACAAAATTATATATAAAATCTAATATATAATAAGAAAAAATAAATATATATATATAACATATATTCAAAAATTTACAGAAAAAAAGTTTTTTTATTAAGTTGATAAATAATAAACTATTAATATTAAGTAAGTTGATAATTAAAAGGTTATATCTATATAAGTAAATAAAATATATTTTATATAGTTTTTATAAAAAAGAGACAATTAATTACTTGCTAGAATATTTAATTTACAAGAAGTAGATAAAAAAAAAAATGAAACAAAGTTTTGAAGAAGTTTGTAAAACTTAAAGAACTCTTGCAAAAAAGAAAGAATGAAACCATCAAAAAAATATAAGATTAATAGTAAATAATAGAAAAGAAATTGAAGAAATTGACAAGTGGACATCTAGACTAATAAAATAAATTTCAATAACAAGTTAGGACATATTAAGTTTTTGTGTAATACTAATAAAAAACAAATTTATTCATAAGTTGACAAATCTAAAATATTATAGTAAAAAGTTAAAAAAGTAAGAACATAGATAAAAAAGATATAGAGTACAATATACAATTGATTTTATAAAAAGATCTAAAATGCAAGATGTAAAAGATGATAGAATAAAAAGAAACACAAAGAATTTGAAAAATAATAAGATAAAAAGATTCTTTAGATCTCAAGATTATAAAACTATACGATTAGAAAAAAGAGTTCTATTATTAGAAAAAGAAAGGTTAGAAAATCAAGGTCTGAAAGATATCTTATCAAGAGAAGTTAAGTTTGAAATAAAATAATTAAAACTTGAATAAATGATCTGAAGTACTAATTTATAGGCAATGATATTAAAAATTGAAAATTATTTCCAAAGTATACTTAGAATAACAATTGTAAAAATAAGTAAGTTAGTTGTAGTTTTTAACTTTAATAATTTATATTATAATATATAATCTACAATTGGTTAATAAAGAATACATAGCAAGCCAAAAAAAAAAAAATAATTATAAAAGAATAAAAATAATAAATAAAAATTTTTTAAGAGTTAAGTATATATTTATTTATTTTTTTTATTATAAAAAACCTTTATATATAATATTTAATTCAATAAAAAGATTTTAAATACTATATTATTAATGTTTTATAAATAAAAACTAGATTTTTAATTTCTTTAAATTATAAAAAATTAAATTTTTATATAAAAATATATAAACAAAAGAAAAAGAATAAAACAATTTTTGAAGATATTCTTTAAATTATTTTAAAGAAAGAAACAAGACTTAATTAGTATAGAAATATAAAACTTTTATAAATATCTTTTTTAAATACTATTAAAAAATTGATAAAAAGTTTATTTTAACTAATTATTAAAAAATATTTATATTGTTAAGTACATTTGCCACACAACTCTTTTCGCTGATCCTTTGACCACACATAAAAAAGATATTTACAAGAAGTTTTCATACTTCTATGCTAATAAAGTCTTATTACTTTCCTTAAATCAACTTGAAGAAGCTTCAAAAGTCATCAACTATTCCCTCTCCTCTTGTTTACTATTCTCTTTAAACAAAAACTTGATCTCTAGTGATCTTAAAGGTCAAGTAAAACCTTTTTTACCAATGGCAAGAAAGTTCCAAACGGAAGAAGAACTAATGTATTGTCATCTCACACTATAGAGAAATACTACAGAAGTCTATGAATGATGAGAGACAACTCTTTTGTTATTATGTCTACTTCTCATAGTGCTCGTTCTTGATTTTTTTTTCTGGAGGATTTTTCCTATCTCAGTTTGACCCTGAATTTTGAGTAGCACAAAATTTCTCATACTGTGATTGAACAGATAGAGCTCACATTAATAAAAGAATGTAAACAAGCTCCCATTGGTTACTTCACGTGTCTCGTTAAATACTGCCTCCTAACACATCATTGAATATCAAGAAAGAGAATAATCTTTAAGAAAATTATCTACCGTCACTTAGAAAAATAAGAAAAACAAGATCTCAAGAAGATATAGAATAAAGGCAAAGCCTTGAAAGTGTACTACCTACTTATACAAGCCTAAAAACTGGGAAACTAGGAGATCCCTTAAGATCATTAGTATCAATCGAAAATGAAATCATTAGCAGGAGTTACTAATGTAGATGGTATAGTGGATCAACTTTTCAAAGATGGTAGTATTTCAAGAGCAACATTTATCAAGACCAGTGAAGATGCATGCCAGAAAGACCAAGATTTCTTTTCTAGAGAAGTTATCGCAATGGGTAAATAAGGACAGATTTACTGGATGACAAAGGCTCCATACCTCACACCCCCCATCCTTATAGCTCTCCTTCCACAACTCTCTTCAACTCCAGTTTTAGACCCCCTCAAAAACCCCTTTGACTTGTCTGGTTACTTGGAAGAACATTAAAAAAAAGACCCAACGTAAGTAGGATAAGGCAAGACATAAGATCAAAACTAAAAGACATAAGAACTATAATATGGAAGTACTAAAAGCAACTGAAGAACAGATATTGTGCTCTCAACCAATGAAGTCCTCAAAGAGTACCTAGCCGACAGTAAAGAAATGGTAGTAATAGTATGGTTTCAAGTGTCGATTCTATAATGGATTACCATTTTCCCTCTCTTGTCAAGTTCTTTCAAGATGTGAGTAGAATTCTCTTTCCTATTGATCCTTATATAGCTATTGTCTTCAATTATTTCTCCTAGTAATAAATATCTATTCAAGAAAATTAATATATGAATACACATTCCCATCTTTAGGGTTAAGATAGACAAACTAGATTTGATACACACCAACCTCCCCTTCAAAATTTTTATCACCCTAATGACCCCTTCATTAGGTCTGTTTGGAGATGACTTAGCCATGAGGTGGTTTCTTTTTAATCTATCATTAGTTTAATAGCTCATCATTGTTTTCTTCTGGTCAGATGTACCTAAATAGTAAAACTTTGCTAATAAACTTGGCCAAGTCCAGCATTTAAAAAAAAATTTATATCGTTATGTACTGTAAATGCAGAACAGTATGACAAGGCTGCAAATCAAGGCCAGATCACGTGGGGACCGATCGCGCTAAAACCGGATCAAACGTATGCGCCACAAGAACAATAATAGGGAGCAGGTAATAATGTCGCACGTAATCGATAAGCTCACGAAATATGACGGCATTGCGTGATAGATTCTTATGTCATAATTAGATATTTTCTTGGACACTATGTAATACTGGAACGAATAACGTAACAGGAATTCCTACACGCTCTGATTGGCTCTCATCATAATACAATCGGAATAAATAACGCGTTCTCAAACGATGACAACGATGACAACGATGACATTCAACTTAGAGGTCCTGTTTGCCAACGTCCACCGCATCTTAGATCCGAAAGATGTGCAAAGGTATGACCCATAATTCTAAAACAAATAATAATCTAGAAATATTTATTAACATACTTATTCTGCTGTAGGTACCTAAATAGTAAAATTGTACCTTTTTATTTACCAGATGTTATTGAAGCTATCAAAATCGCGTTCACTCAAGAAGAACAAGAAATTATACGAGAAGCACTTTCTCCATTGTCAGAATCTTCTTTTTTCGGCGAAGTTGCTAAAAAATACCTATATGAACTTAATACCGCATCGAAATCTTTCTTAAATTTCAAGAACGCCGTTGAAATGAAGTTCCCGTATAGAAACGATATCGCAAATTTTAATCTTATTAAGAACCCAGACATTGATTTGATTTTGACATATGGCAGGATACTCTCTCGACAATTTGAGGTTATACCATTTTTAGAGAATATTTCAGAACGCCAATGGATAGAGGTAGTTGAAAATCACTTTGCAGCAGCTCTGGATAACATACTGGATTGTTTTTGGGAACCAAACGATAAAAGAATTTGGAACACTTTCGAGACAAAACCGGTTAAAAAATATGCCGACGCTATCCTTACATGTCTAGCAACGAAAATGATTTTTTTTATCCTAGAAATTAATGGAAGGCCTGGGGATATACCTGATTCAGAACTAAAAGCTGATTATGATAAAATTGCAAAATGTTTTGCATATCTATTCGACGAGATGTTGCAAAAACGCGGCCCCTTTTCCTCGGAATACTTCAAGGGTATTTCCTTGTGGGCGGGACAAGTTTCCGGTTAATAATTCTTTAGTTAGGTATAAAATATTGCGAATAATTAATTGATTGATGTTTCCTTATTATAGGTAAACGATGCACTATATTAAGATGTTTCGTTACAAGTTCCCAGAAATATGTTATTCATGAAATCAAAACTATAAACTTTATTACGTCAAGAGATCAATTTTACATGGCGGAAATGTGGATAAAGTTGCTTGGGCTTATCCGTGTAAGTTATACGCGTTTGCGTGTTTAGTTAACATATTTCGCATATACAATAACATTAAATTCGTTCTGGTTATGGTAAAACAGTATAACATCACCGAGAGCATTCAAAATTATCATCAACTTCAACGTCGACAATGTACTTAGTCATGTGTCTCGTTATAGTATTAAGCTGATTTGATTCAGGAATAGTAAAATCAATTTAATCAGCATATTTTTTTAAACTTTGCGTTCTTTTTATAATTGTAATTATAAAACAGAGATTGTAATACAAGTGAAAGGTTGATACATATAATAGGTGTAATGAATAATCGGGATATCATTAAATTAATGAGTTTTGGTATAACAATTATAACAATAAGAGAAAATTTAAAAGCAATTTATTTTATTTCATATTGTATATACTATATATACAGTATATCGATATATTAGTATGTAAAATAAAGTGTATTTTTTTACGGGTACTCAAAAAAAAATTAGTATGTAAAATAATAAAATAATATTAAAAATTTGTTTCAATTATCAAGATGAGAAGAAAATATTTTTGTGATTATTAATAGGAAAAAAAATTATTCGTAATCATGGTGAGAAAGAATAACAGTAAATCATTCAATAGATAGTTATAATTGATATTTGTGTAATCAAAATTTTTTCAAGATGAGAAAGAAAATGAAACGAAGTCACAGGGGGGCCTTTTATTATATTTGACTTCAGATCGTCAATGACGTAATGATATTTGTGTAATCAAGGTGACGCTTGCATAAATATGTTATACTGTATATTAAAACACGTTCATGAAACACTTAAACGATACTAGACGGCATATCGTTGGATAAACTTTGGAACCCTTGTCAGTTTCTGAATCTTGGGAGAGATTAAGACCTAATTGATTGATCATCTGACAAAAGCTGGTAAAAATTCGAACTTGTCTTCTTCAGATACTCTTGAATGGATGAATGCAGAAAACTCGAACGACCTTCAAACTATGTTTTACGACAGTGACTGTTTTCTCAGAATCTCCGTGTGAAAGCCAATGGAAAAAAATGAAAACATAAGTTAGAAACTATTAAAAAATCCCATCAAAAACAAATACTAGTAATATAATAGAACTGAAATTTTTGGAAAAAATCTCAGGAATGATACAAAGAATTAAAATTTATTATAATATTTTTAAGAATAAAAAATAAAAAATTATATTTAGTTATAACTTTATTGAATATTATGTATTTATTGTATATTTAAAATTTTTTTTTTATATTTTGTATACGGTATATACTGTATATATTTATGATTTATTATATTTTATTAGGAAAAAAACTCTTTTTGCTAATTCTCTAATCATATACAAAAAAGATATTCACGCAAAAGTAAAAACATAATTTCTGATAATCAAGAAAATATCAAATAATATTTTTACTATCAATTGTAAAAAAGTATCTAAAGAAAAAAGAATCAATTGTAAAGTACTTAAAAATCTTTTCTATTCCTTAATCAAAATTTTTAAAAGTCTATTATAATAAAAGAGAATATTTTTTTCTTATCAATTGTTATTGTCTTCTTAAATTTTTTATTTTTATAATTTTCTAAAATTTTTTGCTTATCTCAATTTAATTCTAAATTTTTAAGTAGCACAATATTTATCAAAGGTAATTGATAAATATGAAAAATATAAATTTTTAAAATATAAACAAGTTTCTATTGTTTACAATTGTATATTTCAATAATATTATTAATAATAAAAAAAGTTTACAAAAAAGTTATCCATTAATCAAACAAATTTTTTTAAAAAAAATAATTACTATATAATATTCTTTTTTTTTTTTAATAGTTAAAAAATTTATACTATATAGTTTTTATTTAATCATTAATACTTTCTTTTATACACAAATTTAATTGCAAGAAAATATATTTATAATAGAGAAATAATTAATGATTCAGTATCTTAATGAACTTTATAACTTGCTGCAATTTACTCAAGAATGAATATTAGTATATTATAGCTCTACTAACACTAATACTTACAAAAAAAAGTAAGTTGGAAGAATATCCATTTTACAGAATATTTTTTATACCATAGTTAGTTACTTTTATATACAATTGTCTATAAGTACCCTGTGAGTTTCTAGCTTCTTGTGATTCTTTATTTATATAATTCTTTTAGTTTTTTGTTCATTTTTTTAAAAATTTTTTAAAATTTTTCTTATTTTATTATTAGGTCACATTTTAGCTTTCAGATTTTCTTCTTCTTTTACCAAAACTATGTTATTCTATCTTTAATACTATTTTTATTACTTTTTAACCATCTATAATTTTTTTTGCAACTTGTTTTATCTTGTAGGTAATAATCTCTCTAATGATATTCATCCATACTATTTTGTTTGATTCCTTTAATTCTCATATTTTTACTGGTGATTTGAGAGACCACTTTTATTTATTCTATATAGATTTACTTTACTTATTGTAATTGATTCTGATTATATATTCTTCAGTAAGAAAAGATATGTATTTTTTATTAAAGAGTGATCTATAGTAGTAAGTTGCAGGTAATAATATTAAGATTTGAAAGGGTTTTCACTTAAACTTCTAATGAAATGATAAATCACTTCTAAAGTTACACTTAAAGTAATAATTACAAAGACAAATGAGCTAGTTAGCTTTAGTGATTCATATTATATGTATAGTTTACAAATATTTAATAAAACACACATAAATAGCTTAATAAAGAATTAAATAAAAAAAGAATGTATACTTTTTTATCAATTTTATTTTGATCTATTTACAAGTGAAGAGATAAAGGTCTCTTTTTTTATACTTCTTGCAGATTATACAGATTGATCTTTTGTACAGATATAGTTTCTATGTATTTATGTTTAATTATATGAAATATTCATTTATTTTGTCTCTATGATTACTTTGATCAGTTTGAAGTGATGTAATTTTGGATAGCATTAAAGTTTGTATAATCATATTCCAGTCTATCTCCTTAGACTTCTAACTTGTAAACCATTTCTGAGTTTGTTTCAAGGTTCTGCATTTACTTGTTTATTTAGTTTTGAGAATAATCTTTCCTACTATTCTAAAGGGAAGGTTTATAAATAACAGATCCTACTTAAGTATTATCATATTACTAGTCAAGTTCAACTCCTAGATTCTAATTATATTCTTGAGCTTATTTACTAGTATAGTTGTTATTAGTTTATCTACTAGTTCATTTTTTTGATTTTTTGAGTAGCCTTTTATTTTTGTTTATCTAACCTTAATTATCTATATTACTATAATTTCAAGTATTATACTGTATTAACCAGACTTTTGTTTAAACTTTCTGTTTTCTAAATTCTGGTTCTATTTATTTTGACTATCTTCTTTATTAAATTAATAGAATATTAATTATCTATAATAATATTTATCTTTTTGTCTATACCTACTGTACTAATAGCTATTAATATTGTTGTTAATTCTACTCTAATAAAGAATAGAATTTCTTGGATTTTTACTTAAAAAGTAAAAATTTCAGTTTCTTATTCTATTTGAATTATCCATCTAATCTCTATTTTACTATTGATATATTACTTTATAAATAAACCATTTGTAAATATTTACAAGTTATTATAAAAGATGATTTTTTGTGTGATTTGCTGTAATTTCAAAATTATTCTTGTAGAACCTTCAATCTTTTTTGGATTAAGACCTTCATAATTGATAAAGAGTCCAAAGATATTGTTGTTAAAGTTGTATTAAATAGTTGTTTATTAATATTTCTAAGTATAAGATTTACATCTTGAAAAAAAAATGAAGTCTGTCAATTGGAGATTGCCTTGTACTGGTTTCTTGTAGTTTTGTAATATAACTTTTGCTATTCTTTCACACCTTAATATTCATGAATATGCCAAAAGTTGGATCATTATATATTGCTATTGATCATTGTACTGACTTCTCAACTCTGAATTGTTGAAGAATCAATCTTTGCACTTAAAAACTGTTAATATTTAATTGTTCTTGATTATATAGTTGATTAAGATAGACTGATTATCAAGAATTTTTTTTGCCTTGTCATAATTGTTACTATATCTTTTTTATTGTTAGCTATCTGATTATTGACTATTAAATAAGGGTACATTGGTATATTGAAATAAAAATTATTTATATTAGGGCTACCATCTCTATAATCCCTAAGAGGTATCAATTCTCTTTTATTTTTAACCTGAATATTGCTTAAGTCAGTTGAAGGTTCTTTTAACTCTTTATATTATAAAGGATTCTGTTCTATTTGTCTAATCTGATCCTTATCTACTGTCAAGAAAGAAATCTTATCCTATTTTTATTAAGCAGCTGATCTAAGAATAGAATTTTTTTATATCTGAGAGAGTATCTATATTTATTGTATTAATTCTTTGGAACTATTTCTCTAATTGTTCTCTTCTTATTCTTAATTGTTTTTTAAACCATGTATGCTTTACTAGGGCTAAAGTAATTCCCTAAAGCTTCAGCATATTTAGGATTTTATTTCTCAAGTTTTTTCTTTTCTTAATCTAGAAATATAACCTATCTATTAGAATCAATATATTGAATCAGTATTTATTCTAAAGATATTGAAGTCTAATTTGTGTAGTTGCCCTATCCAAGTTGTGATTACTTAATTTGTAGAATAAATTCTCGTATGTATAAGGATTTGTCTATACTATAAATTGAAGAGCTTGTATCCAAAGTTAAAGTAGACAATACAGTTTATAGTTATTAAGACTAATCACACTTTGTATTTAAAGACCTTGTTTATTTTGCTATTAATCTTATTATACTCCTTTTTTGATAGGACTATATTATTTAAAAGATATTTGATTGCCGAGAAAAGTGTAAGATTGATTATATATTTTGTCTATTTGTCTATGATTTTTTTTCATACCAGGATTCTGATAATTATTTTTACTTTTTTTTTAATAATATTTATTTGATAAACTTTTTTTTCATCTTTTGATATCCATACTTTCAAAATTCTTGTTGTTTTATTCTACTATAATAGTGCAATCTATATTATATTCAATATAACACCTGTTTATTAGTATTCTTTACTTGCATTGATACAGATTAGTAATAATTTCTTGTTATTGACTTGTATGTTATTTACAGTATCTTTAGAAACTTTGTTGCTTTATTTCAAATGGCTTACATATTGGCCTGACTGCTTGCAAACCATTAGTATTATCTATATATGCATTTGCTATAAAGTTTATCTTTATTACCTTTATACTAGTCATTTTCTTTGAATTTGATAATATAAGATTCAGTATCACATTTGTTCCTATCATATATCCTATATATTTGTTCTCAATCTCTTACAATAAAGAATTGTAAAAGATTTTTCAAAGTGTAAAGGAAATAGTATCTTTTTAATTGATTATATCATATATAGGATATTCTTTTATAAGTTTATATACTATGATTATTCTATTGTTTTTGTCAACTAGTATATTATTTAGAATTCTGATTATTCTTTCTAATATATAAATTTTTTGAGACTCAGATTATTATGTCTTTGTTAATGGAGTCATATACTTTACTAATATTTTGATAGTTCTGCTTAGTTATTAGTATGCAGTATTCTGTACCTTATATATATTTCTATTAGTCTTGCTATTAAAATGCTTATAAATACCTTCTTGATTATCTTTAGAATTATAATGGATCATGTTATATTAATATCTTATAATCTTCAATCCTTTGAAGTATCCTTTATAGTTAGAATCTTATTGAATATTACCTCTAATAGCTTCAATCCATTCTTTCCTAGGTTTTTCAATAGAATATATGATATCCTTAATGGATTTGGAGTACCAAACTTTTTTTTCTTTTTAATTATATTGTTTATCTCTTGCATTTCAATTTTAGTCAATGTTTTATTGACCCAGTCTTTTTAACTATCTTTCTTGAAATCATACTGTTAGTATCAGTATAGATACTCTTCTATGTTTAATGTTTATCTTAATCTTATTTATCCTTGAAAATGTTCCTTAATCTTGTATTTGATAACTTTTGGGTCTATTATTATTTTGACTTCATC